CAGCCCGGAAGACCCACACCAGCCATCGTATGCCAGCCGTGAAAGCCTTCGACAATACATCGTACCTGAAAATGTTGTTTCTTTTCTAGGCACTTTGATAGATAAGTATGTTGGTTCTCTGGTATTATTTGTACAAATATTATATCCTGTCCAGAGAGCACTTGTGGACCTCTCAGGATGGTTACTAGCAATTAAAACCAATGAAAGGCTGTAACAAAGATTACAAACCAGAAGCATGTTATAACAAAACCAGGCAGGCTGGTAGCTAAAACAAAATAAAAGACGCAAGTTGTATCTTCTATGGAACAAATGCCATTCTCAGTAAGAAGTCTTCTTTGTGTGTGTATGTATGTGCATGCATGTGTATATATATCCCTCCCTCTCCTCCCCTCCCCTTTCTTTTCCCAATCCCTTACACCAGTGTTTTTCAACCTTGGCAACTTTAAGATGTGTGGATTTCAACTCCCAGTATTCCCCAGCCAGCATGAGAGACTGAATTCAATGAAATAGTGCAGGAGAAGACACTACTGCGACGATCTGGGCATTGTTTTTAACCCTTACCCCTCGGAGCAGTTCTCATGGCATGGCCAGCACTCTTTGTTGGCATCAGGGTACTTGAAGATTAGTCCCTTCACCCCAAGGATCCCTGCTGGGCAGCTTTCAACGCAATGTGGCCCATCCTTATAGTTTGCACAGATCACACACTCATCAGCACCCTGAGGAAGAAAATGGGACACCATAGTATATGGGAAGGGGACAATCCCAAAGCCTTGAGTCAGAGCAGGTAGGCATCCCAGGACAGAGACAGTTCAGAAGTTAGGGCTATCAGTCACGTTTCCAATGAATGGCAGTTTGTGGGCAGCAGTAGAGCGGTAGTTTGCCATTTCTTCTTCCAGGATTTTAAAAAATATATGTTTCCCAGTCTAGCCTACAGCCTGATATTTCCTGTTAATCTCCCATACAACCCAGTATGGCTTGGCTTCCAAGCCCAAACAAAATTAGCCAAGTGCTGCCATCCATTGAGACAGTCAGTAGTATAGGAAGTAATGAAATAATATCCCATGGTCACATCCTCCTATAAATTTCTCCATAGCTGCTGTTAAGAAAGGCGTACAGAAATTGCCCCATTTGACTTGAATTTATACAACTGTGAAATGTGTCTTGAGACTTAGCAATAAAAGGTCCTGATCTTACTTTCTCAACTTGTACAACTGAAAATCAAACAGGCTTTTGGCAAGTCAGTTTTGTTTACTCCACCTACCTTAAGGTCCCGCTGGACCCAGTCCAAACATTCAGAGAGGAGGAGATCAGCCCTGCTCTCAGGCCCTTTGCCATGCAAGCAAGCTGAGCCACTAACCGCTGAAGAGTTACAAGGGAGCCTTTCAGGTGAGCCTCTCTATATCAGGGTAAATTGAGGATAAGCAAGGACTGGAAGGTCTTGCTCCTCAATGTTAGCTTCTCTTTCTCTAAGCGGTGTGAGATTCTACATTTCTGTAGAGATCTTAATCTTAAGTTATGGCAAATATTACCTTTTCTGGCAAATATTATCTTTTCCAGCAATTATTTGGCTCATTCTGTTCAGTACCTAGTTTTGTTCTGGAGCTGGTTTTGCTACATCTATATATGCATTACTATTTCATTATGCTTCTTTAAAAATATTCATTCTGAAGATTTGGAAAAGTGGCTTATAATTATCTAAAAATTAAAGCTCAGATTTATACTGCCCCTCCAGGCTCAGCCGGAGATGCTGTGGAGATCCTGACCTCATGCCTGGAGGCTCTGAGGGTCTGGATGGTTCAAAACAAGCTGAATTAATTCCTGCAAGATGTTGTTTGTAGATGATCTGATTCCCATTCTTGGTCTGGCTCTAGATAGGATCCTTGACTTGGGGTACTCCTATTTGGGCAGCAAGTGAAGGTCATGGTTGGGGGGGCATTTACCCAGGTTTACCTGGTCATCACAGGCCTTCTTGGACCAGGATGCCTTTATAACAATGATGCATATCCTTCTCACCTCACATCTAGACTACTGCAACATAATTTACATGGAGCTGCCCTTGAAGACAACTCAAAAGTGGCTATTGGTGCAAAATGTAGCAGCCTGGCTAAGAGCAAGGAGTTGGTTGTACTTTGGTTGGTGATAGTCTTCCTGTGAAGATGCTGGTTCTGACTTGTAAAGGTCTACATAGCTCAACAACTGTGTAGTTACAGAACTGTCTCTCCCACTCGGATTCAGCCCAACTGGTATGTTCATCTTAAGATCCTTCCTGAGGGCTCCTTCCCCTAGTGAGGTGAAAAGACTGGGTACCTGAAAGCTTGTCTTCTCATAGGAACCCCCATGTTCTGGCACACCTTGGCCCCTATGGCACAAGGACCCCCCCCAAGTCATTTTTCATAAGGCTGTGAAAATCATTCACCTCTGAACAGCCTTCAGTACAACTTTTTATTTCTGGAAATATTTTGTTATTTATTGTTAAAAACCAAACAATAAATAACGAAACTTAATTTCCAGAAATAAAAAGTTGCATGATTGCAACATTGATATTCTATTGTAAACTATCCTGAATCCTTCGAAGTAGGGCAGCACATAAACTTTTCTATAAATAAATAAATGCAAGTAGTCTTTGCTTAACAACCACTTGTTCAGGGACCGTTCAAAGTTATGATGGTGCTGAACAAGGAGACTTATGACCAGTTCTTGAAGTTGCAGCCACTGATTGTGATTTGGGCACTTGGCAATTGGCTCACACTTGTGATGGTCACAGTGTCCTGTGGACACACAATTGCCATCTGCAAACTTCACAGCCAGTTTCCAACAAGCAAAATCAAAGGGGAAGCCAGCGGGGGGTTGCAAGTTGCAGTCACATGTCTCACTTTACGGTTGTATCACTTAGTGATGGAGTCGCCAGTCCCAATTTATTATTTATTTATTATAACATTTATATGCTGCCCATCTCCTCCAATTCTTAACCAAGGACTACCTGTAAACTAACTAGCTAATTTCTTACATGCTTAGTTCAGTACTTGGAAAAGAAAATGAAACAATTTTGGGGCAGCCAATGGCCTTGCATCCCTGGCCTGGGACCCAAACTTCAAAAAGCTTAAGCCAGCTTTTTAAGACGCTAAAAAGCCAGCACCTGTAAGTGACCCTGTTCCCAGTAATCTCCATGTGTTGCCTACAAGGAACAGGGCCTTTACTGTCCCCCTGAAACTACCACCCAAGAGAGGAACATCTCAGCTTTTCCTGTCTAGCCTTCGGGAAAGACTGCATTTGTTCAGGAAAAGCAGTCACAGGGATAGGAGACAGAGCAGCTGTTTTGCCCCAGGACAACTCTTGGAAATTATGCTAGATGTTGTAAACTGCTTCTTACATCTGAAAATGCAGGATATAGAGAGTTTAAATGAAGAAGTAATTTAAATGAAGATATTTTTGTACTCCCTCCCAGCCCCACCCTCAATGCTTCCTTAAAAAATGTGTTCTGTCATACTTGTCCATTACAGGTGAGGCCTCCCTCGATCTTCCGGCATTGTGGATGACACAGCAAGCAAACATCCCCTTGAGCAAATTCTCGACTCTCCCTGCACGTAGCAAAGGGACAAAAGGAAGTGTTAGAAACATGGGTCCAGGGTGGAACCAGAGAGGAGGGAAGCAAGTGCTCTTGGCTGTTATTCTTACCCCTCGTAAAAATCGCAGGAGACAATGCAGACACCTTCACGGCTGTAGTTACGGCAGGAGACACACTGATCTGGGCCAGGCCCCCAACAACCATCACTGGAGCAAAGAGGATCACAGACCTTTCCCTCTTGAACTGGTAGAAAAAGAGAATGTCTGGATCATAACAGTGCCTTAAAGTGGGGGCCATGTGTCAAGCCCCTTTTGTTCATCCTGAGCTGTCTGTAGGAAAACTGATAAAATCCAATCATCTTAGATTATATATTTTAAACAGAACTCTATCCTTTGAAAATGCCAATGCCTGTTTGCTAAATAGCTCTTGCTGTCCCCAGACAACACTGCTCTTACTGCAAGCAACCAGCATGCTCGTCAGGCATATCATCAAGAAGTTAGTGGAAGATCTGCGAGCAGCACTGGCCAAGACAGCTGAGGGCAAAACAGGATGAGCATTTTTGGTGTACGGATATTATGAGGTTGCAGTTGTCTTGTTCATTGCAACTGGATGGGAGAGAGGCTATCACATGTGTAAGAAAGACCTGAGACTGGTCCTGTATATGTGGCTGGAACAATCACACACTCTCCACCAGCAAGTAATCTCTTGACAGAAGCAGATCCACAACATTCATTATGTACGGACACCCAGAAGCAGAAGCACAATGCAAGTGGGAAATGTGTGTGGTCTGAGTGAGTCTGATCAAATCAAAATTCACTTTCCCCTGTGAGACTCAGCTGAAGGCTAGACTGAAGCTGCCATAATGAACCAGGCACGTAAGCATGAAGCTGCCAGAATCTAAAGATGAACCAGGCACATAAGCTGGAGAGGACAAAAGGCTAGGAATTTTGACTAAAAGATCCCTTCAGGAGGTAGGTAAGAAGGAAACAAGTTGTTAAGGAAACAAAGGAAAAATGTCACCTGAAGCAGACAAAGGAAGCTGGGCCTGAGCACATGGAAAAAACCTAATCCCAGCTAATCAACAAAACAAGAACTTTTGGGGATAAAAAGGGGTCCTGAAGCCCACCCACTCCTTGAGTCATTTTTGGATCTAGACTTGTCAGCTTCCGTCCCTCCAGCTAGCGCCTGGCAGCCTAGTTGAGAAGAACATGGATAAGTGTGGCTGAGTGTGTGTGTGCGCGCATGTGAGAAAGAGCAAAAGTACACTGTAACCAGTAAAGTTTGCTGTTACTTTAAATTCACTGGGTCTCCGTGTATTCCAAAGAACCTCTTGCGCCTCAGTGTTTGGTTGGAAGCAATTTATGTTCCTAATTTTTTCCCGGCTGTGTGTCTTGTCTGCTCTAGGCGCACCTATCTGGAAAGCCCAGGTAGAAAGCAAGGGGGAGGGGACTTACAAGACACGCGTGCCTCAACAGGCTGTGTGTGAAGGAGTGACCATAAGCCGAACCTGGGAGTGTGTGTAACACCCCTTCCTATGACAGTGCTCCCTTTCTAGGAGGGTGAAGAGAGCGCTCTGGGATGTCCTTGTAAGAGTAGTCCTCGAGAGGAAAAGTGACAGATTCAGTCTTATGTGATAGATGTGCTTCATGCTGTCTCCAATTTCTGAGAACTATAAACCAACATATCTGGAGGGCAGCAGGTTGGGCTAAATGGGTTTATGTAATGTGCATGTGTACGTTTGCTCACATGTGAAGAAGAAAAATAATTCCTTGTGCAGCAATTAGCCACATCCCGTATTACTGCTGCAGAAACTTTCTGTTGCTGTTTGATTCTGTTTATGCACGAGATGCCATGCCCTCCACGGCCTGTCTCCCTTTTCTATTACCCACACTTACTGCATTTCCTGGGAGATTTATTACTCCTGATGTTAAGATCCGGACGTCGGCGAGAGAGACGTGCCCAGTTGATGGTGTGATAATAGCAAAGTTGCCGATTCTCAGTGATGTAGACCTGGCCAGCACTGATCTCCCGAAGCGAGCGGAAGTCTAAAGAGGTGACGTTCATGTTCTTCATGATCAGCAAAGAAAATCCACGGCTAGAAAAAGCACACAACAGCCTTGATCTCAGAAGAGGAATGGCACAACAACTGGGAATAAAAAAGCAACTTGTTTAATCTTGCAATTACTGGAGGCACCACGAATGTGGGAAACTGGCAGAGCAGAATCCAAATACCTTTTTCAATCCCATCCCTGGATCACACACACAGGAGTCTTCATATGCAAACTCAGTTGTTTTTATGATAGTGGCTTTAGTGGCTTTTCAAAGTTGCCAGCTTCTCTATAGCAGGAGAGGCGAGCTGGAGGGATCACCAGCCTTAAAGTTTCCTACAGCTCAAACGCAAAGGTAAAAGATGCTAATCAAGGAAAAAATGCTTACTTATACAGGCTGCGCCCACCAATGGTGACCAGGTTGGAGAAGATGCTGAAATTCTGCATGTGCTTGGGCCATGACTGGATATTCAAGTAGCCTAAAACAAGAACAAGCTGGTAATTTCTGAAGCATATCCCCTAAACCTTGTTCCATCATCACCATATATCCACCTCTCCAGGTGCCTCCAAAAAAGATATTTTACCATGTAACTGACTTGCCTCACTCACAGAATTTTGCAAGGAGGCAACATGGCTATTTGTAGCCCTATCAATGCTTCTTCCATCCTGTTTCTTAGCTCAGAAAATTCTCAAAAAGTAGATGAAATGGTTGCACTGTGTATATTGATTAGTGACATTAGGAATCATACTTTGTGAACAACCATTATGCCACCTCCAAAATTCAAACTCCTGCATGTAAATTTTACTATTTTTCTAACTTCCAGAGCAGCCTTGCCTAGCTTTCTGGTGCTCTCCAGAGAATTCCCATAATCACTGACCAGCATGACTAATAGGTTACCACCTCCCCAAGTAGTGTTATTGTGTAAGTTTTCCTTTCTAATAGGAAACCTGTATATTTCATGTGATACATTGTGACCTGCATGGATCTGAGCTTGTTTTATTACATCCTGCATAATCTGTTCCAACCATTTAATTTAATTTTATTTGGAATTTACCTTACTTGTATTCTATCATTCTGCCAACTTAGGGTTCAAAGCTCACAAGAGAAATGTAGAACTCAGCAGCTGGGAAATGTGAGCTTTTCTTCCCAAAAAACCCAGAGTATGACCTTCCTCAGAGTTCCAAACTCTCTTTTCCAAATAACTTTCTCTAACTTTCTAGATTGTTTCATGCCAGGAGGAGGACGCCAGACACCATATCAAATATCAAGGAGACACTGCTCTTACCATCTACACCAGGGTTCCTCAACCTCAGCAACTTTAAAAAAGGGGGGACTCCACTACCCCCATACCCCCCCCCCCGCCGCTTGGGGGGTTTTTTAAAGGTGGTTCACACCACCTTAAA